TTTACATGTGCAGTCTGCGCGTGAGCGTGCGTGCAGGCGTGTGTAAGCACATGCATCAGTCCTGTGTGCGGTCATTCAGAACTCCTGTCTGTCACAACCACACATGTTCCCCATTACCTTGACAAACCAGTTGACATCCCATTTCCCCACACACACACACACACACAAACAGACCACGCATGAGCAAGGAGCTGCACACACACAGTGGAAGACATAATGGGAGACGGATAACACATGAGCACAGAAACGTGGCCCCGTCTGTATCCCCGTAGGAGAGTTTGTTCGCTATGATGGGTGACACGGCTGACTGACACTTTCCTGCATACCAACCCAACAGCCAATCTACTGAAATTGTGTGGTGACATTGTTGATTAAGCAGACGTTCAGCGCACGGTGTGTGCGTCGTAGGAGGGTAATGGTTTCAGTGGTGCAGGGAAATGCAGTCTGTGTGTGTGTGCATAAATGGATGATGTACTGTATGTGTGCTGAGTGCATTTCAAGGACGTGTGACTGTAAGAATCAAAGTAGTACATTTGACTTTGAACCAGGGCTTTGCAGGAGTTAAGCGAGGCCACAGAACCCCAAACTGCTGAGATAATCATCAGCAGTCAAGTACTGCCATCTAGTGATTAAAAAGAGCTTCTTCTGATGAAAAAAAGAAAAGATACTTTAAATACGCACTCACAATTCTGGTGTAGTTTCAGCTAAAAGCTGAACTCGCAATAAACTTTAATTACTCAGGCTGTTTTAAATTAACACAGCAGGATCACTGTTTCCTTAACAAAAAACATATTTAATTATTTATCATCCTGCCATGCTTCCTGTATCTTTCTCCCTCTTCCCTGGATATCTCAGCCTCCCTCAGATCAATAGCTTTGTTTGTTCCAACAACACCTCCCAGTGTTTTCACTTGTCCCTCCCCGCAGGATGCGAATTGGACGTTCTGTCCTGTGCAGTGGATATGCTGTGAATCAAAAAAGCCAAATTAAATTGCCTAATTGGTTTCCTTGGGATGGGTAAAACAGATTTAAATTGATTACCAGTAATGGCCTTTTGTAGAGCCACATTGGCTTCTGCTGTTTGAGGAGGATTTAGCAAAACTAATTAATTTGCCTCACCTCATACGCGCTCTCCTTTGGTTTCCCTTTGTCTCTGTCTGGGAGCTTTTCCATTTTAGCTCTTTCCACTTTCTAATGCCGTCCTTCATACTCTCCAAAATAAAAGGGATGATGATGATAACGTCGCTGGATAACAATCATTCAGGCCTAATTGGCTGAATACTGTCACATTCCAGTGCTGATAAAATGGTTTTTTTTTCTCCCCAGGTCTACTGTTACGAGACTGGCCTGACAAGAGATAATTTAAATCTCTCTTTCAATTATGTTGGCTGTGCGTGTTTGCTTCCACACGGCAGCTCTCGCTGCTGCCGCTTGCCTCAGCCCAGGGAGGAAAAAGTAAGACGTCAAGGTCACATTTTGTCACACAAGCTGATTAAATCCCCTAATATGTTCTCCCCTCTCTGTATCCCTGCCTATGTGTTTCTCCCCCTCCCATCAAATATTATGACAACCAGACCTAATGTGACATTTAGAATGGGGAAAATTACAATCACTTAATGTGATTTCGTTAATTACATTGGGACTATTGTGAATGATTTAAACAGATGTCATCTGGGAAAAGGAGAACATCATTTTGTCACAGATGACTTTTATAAGCAAAGTCAAGGATTTTTTTTTTTTTTTCATCAAATTATAAAATATTGAAAGCCAGATCGAGAAGGCGGCCTCATCTGTTACTGTGTTTTGCGACTAAGCAAAGTCAGATTGGTGTTGTGAGTTTTCTTGAGCTTCATTGCGTGCAGTTAGGCTGAATAGCCCATGACAAATTAATAAAATGAATTGAGCATTGTAGATTTATTTATAGCCGACTTCATGGATAACAGATGAGTGAAGCAACCTTCCTCTGCCTAAGGTTCAATAGAGATGTAAGAATAATGACTTAGGTACTGCTGTTTAGTTGGATTACATTCAAAACCTTTAAGCATTACAAATACTGCTGAAAGAAGGATTTCATTATGGTATTACTTTACATATGATGTGGTTATTACAGATTTGTACTAACCAGTACAGTTGATATATGTTAGTCTGGAAAAGATGTTAGGGCACCATCTTGACCTTGATGGGTGAAGTTAATTGGTGTCATGAAAAAGGACAGAAGGATGTTTTGCACCTGAACAGATATGCTGTAGCTGAATGTGACTGTGGGCAGAGCAGTGGGGGGGAACAGAAAGCAGTTCCTGCAAAACAAAATGATATTAGCATATAATATTTTCGCTAAACAATATCAAACAAGGAGGCAAGATTACTTCTTTTTTTTAACAAAACCTTTAATTGAATGCACAAATCAAGGGAGGTGAGAATGCAAGTTTTAGATTTCAAATAAGTTATTTCCCCGAAAGATGAGGAAAAGACAAAGAATGAATTGAATATAAGCTAAAACAGGCCCGGTTCAACGTCAACAACAAAACTGAACACAAAACAGCTAATTGAACTTCAACAGAACCCGACACAGAGGGAAACATATCTATTGGTTCTCCAAAACACAAAAACTAAAATAACTTCAAAAACAAAACACCAATTGTTTGCTAAAAAAAATAAATCAATTGTAACCATGAATTAACTAAACTAACCCAACTAACCCAACACTGTCCAGGCCAAGAGAATGTGGTTGTATTCAGTTATCTGATTCAGTGTGATGGGCATTTTGTGTTGGGGTCATTGCTTATGACTTATTCCCACTCTCCAGACTCACACGATAAATGGTAAATCATTTTAGTATTCCATCAGTGGTTGCGAAAGATGAGGATGAAAACTATATTTCTTTCATTTTATTTCTTTTCATTTCTCATAATCGCAGTTTATATGGAAACCGATTATCAAGGATTGGGCGGCTTAAGTGTCACAGTGGGAATATGTGACAGGAGGAGAGGCTGATCTAGAAAGCAAAAGGATGTCAGTAAAATATATTGAAGGTAATAGAGGCCAAAAAACATACAGATGAGATAATTCTCTAAAATTCATAATGACTTTTTTTTTTTGCCGCAACAGACAAGAGATTCAACCACAAAAGTGTATAATTTCTCACTCGCTTCGGCTCCGTCATTTTGTTTCACTATATGTTCACAATCTCCTTTCACTTTTACCTCTTCCTTTTCTGTGGCTGCGTCCCCACCTGCATATAAATCTGAGATATCCTTTTACAAACCGCAGAATGCTAAAGAAAGTAAAACTGTATCCGGAAAGATAATGCAAGGAAACGCTATCCAATCGAACAAAAAGTACAAAGACGAGAGACCAAAGAGGAGATGTTCCTTTACCAAAATGAATTTTCCACATCTGAAATTCCCCACAGCCCACAGCTTTCATCTTTGGCCTGAGGTTTGCAAGCCAAAGGCAACAGCAGCAGTCAAAACATCAGGCTTTTTAAACAACAGGCACAGTTCTTTTTTGTGAATAATTTAGTTCAGTCAAAGAGGGTGTAACCCATGAATATTATAGATATGCCGTAAAGCCCAACGATATGAAAATCAAATCTGTTTTCCGAGACATGTTTTCTATCGACGTTTAACTTGTCTGCAAGCAAAGTTCTAAGCAAACTGGATATGCACTGCGCACATCTGAAAATCTATGACTAAAGCAAGTGTATTTAAAATGTTAAAAGCCCCCTCTTTATGTCTCTTGCACCGCGTAACATGTATTGTTAAACACATCAGCCTTGACTGAGGGCAAACTGATGGAAGAGGAGCTGAAGCTACGTCATGTATACTGGGAAGCTTGAGGCATTTGTAATTCATACATTTACAGTTAGATTTGCACACATATCAGTCATTGTCATTTTTAGAAATCGTTCGGATGCATAGTTTGGAAAGGGATTAAGTCAAGAGGTAAACAATAATTTCCTGTAAAAGCCTACGTTGTCTTTTGTGAAAAGCAATGAGTTACTTGCATCATGTGCAAGACTCACCCTTTGCATTTGCATGCTGCTGTAGCAGCAAGCCACAGCTACTGCAGAGTTTCTCATATTGGCATCAGGACCCGCTGTGAATTGCATGAGGGGTTTTCTTCACTGGTATACTGCTCGATATGTTTATAGCATAATCTCACAAATAAATAAAAAATGTAAACGCATCAAGATTTTATATTTGCCTAAAGTTACATATAATCATTCATTCATAGATCCCTACATGCCCTTGAAAATAGAATAATGTCACGTGACAAATGAGCAACTAGTTGTTAAAACCTGAGCTAATAGATTAAAGAGGGACGTCTTGCTACAGCTGGTCGACTCCTTGAGGCTGCACTTTGGCACAGTGGTGCTTTGAGCTAAACACTAATCTGCATGTTAACCTGTTCATAAATGTTAACACTGATGTTTAGCGGGTAATGTTTACCAGGATCACCATCTTAGTGTAGCGTATTAGCTTGCAAACATTTGCTAATTAGCCCTAAACACAAAGTAAAGCTAAGGCTGATGGAAGTGTCATTAGTTTTGCAGGCGTTTGGTCATAAGCCAAAGTATTGGACAAATTAAATATCGCCCGGACGGTGACTCTAGATTTTAAGGCCACTACCAAAAAGTAATTTTAAGGGGGACATGATTGTCTGCACAAAATGTGTGGCAATCCATCAAATATATGCTAAATCTGTCACAGCAGTTGAAGTTGTCCTTTGACTTTGACTTAGTTTAATTCTGTAAATGCACATGCAAACTGTACCGTTTCAAGGATGTTGAGACATTTCACGAAAAAACTAAAATAGTGGCAAAACAGGCTGGGGAATATCAAATTTCATGACAATCCATCCAATAGTTGCGTAGATTTTTCAATCTGCACCAAAGTGGTGCACCAAACTTTAGATGGACTAACTTCTCTAGAGCCACAAAATACACATCAATCCTTCTAATATAACGGTGGACAATGAAAAGCAACAAAATCATAAACTCATACATGTTTGTTTATTTTTTTCGTTGTAAAACAATACAATGTCTTCACATTTATTTACAATCTTAATAAAACGTAAATCATTTTAACAGTGCAGAAAGATCCTACTGACATCCATTGAACGGCAAAACTCAGATTCTTTATGAAATTAAAGTAAATTATGTGTCACTTTTCTCCTCCTTCCTGAGGAAATTCCTGGACCTGAAAATCCAATAAACATGAACAACAACCAGTTAGTGCACACACATTATTTCAGGTACTGAGGTATCTGTGCAAACACCCAGAAGTTTAACTTGTTTTAATAGTATTTGGTCATAAGGGAAGGAAGTTTCCTCTCACCTGCTCAGACCAGGGGGTAACTGGATGCAGTAGCAATGCCACACTGGTTGTGTTTGTTCCTGGTCATCATGATGTATCCCTTGGTTCCCCATCCAAGACCCCAGCTACAGAAACACACAAATGACCCAATATTCAGTTGCTCCATGTAGACAATCATAAGCGCAAATATTAGCAACATGCAGAGACAAAATGATCTGTATTCAAATAGAGGTGGAATAATGGTAGTAATTCATAGTAATGGGGTCGTTAAAGAGGTTTACAACATCCTCAGTGAGTTTCAATTTATTTTGGCAGCTATAAATAAAACGTCTTACTGCTGCTGTCTGTGACAACAGCAGCTTTCCGTCTCCACTGTAATATGACTGAGTTTTAACAGGACTGCAGTCCATGTTTTTAAAAGAGCAGCAGATTTGGTTGTTTACCTGTTCTTGACCAGCCAGTAGTCTTGTCCGTTGTCAGTCCCGTAACCCACAGCCAGAACACCATGGTCCAACTCTGAGCTGCTGCAATCTGGCTCATCATACACTCCTAGAAACACAAAACCACCGATTATACAGGCATATGGATAGGTAGAAAACAAATATATATATATTATATCCTATTCCTTTTTGGATTTGATGAGAATATTTTCTGGCAGAAGCAACGTCGTGTTTAAAACTGTTCACCTGATTCGTACAGCTGGAAGGACCCATGAGAAGCATCAATGGCCACGGAGATTGGTCCGATGGTGGCCACAGCCTCCTTCAGTGCATCTTCGTCGCCTTGTGTCACATCAACGTAGCCTGTGCATGTGGCACCAACTTTGTCAGGAGTGTAACGGCACTGGCCATCCTAATTGAGAGAAAAATGTTATCAACAAATTAGACACTCGTTTTTTTCTGATCTAGGCAGCCCACAAAAAACTGGCGCGCAAGCAATGAAAAAGATTTTCAAGAGTTTTCATGCTGCGTCACTTTTAAGGTTTTGAGAGATGGACTTGTCAATGAAACGGCCTTGCATTGAAGGTTTGTTGTGGGCCACTATTAATTCTGTCCACAAGATGGCACTATTATACATCTCTTATATGGAGGACTGTCATTTTAATCTGTCTGAATGGGTTGATTTCCATCTCCAGCTCTGCATTTTAGCATGATAATGACAAACAGCTGTCTGACACTACATTACGACACTACACAACACGTTTCAACCAAACTGCTTTCTGTTTACCTCAGCCTCATAAGGGTACGAGTCCTCTGTGTCTATCCCTCCGTTGGCTTTGATGTACTTGAAGGCGTTGTCCATCAGGCCTCCATTGCAACCCTCGTTGCCATAGTCGCCGGAGCAGTCAACCAGCTGCTGCTCGCTCAGAGACACCAGCTTCTCTGTCTTCCTGAAGGTCTGACCCTCCAGCGAGCCAGTCTGAAAGAAATAAGTGTGATTGAAACCAAAAGACAGTTGTGTAAAGTTTCCTGCATTACCAAAAGAGAGGACACCAACTTGATGCAGTACATACGGCACTGAAGGCCCAGCAGGAGCCACACTGTTTCTGATCCTTGACATCAGTGACGTATCCCTTGTCCCTCCAGTCAACAGAGTTGGGCAGATCAGCTCCTTCAGGCAGCCGGAAGTAAGCAGAGCCCCGGCGAGGCAGAGACGCATTGAAGACGCCCAGGCAGCCCTGGGAAATCAGGCGTTTGTACTCTTCATTTTCCTGGAGAAGAGGGTAAAAATTCAGTATGTCACTTAATTAAGTCTTCATCCACTGCATCCTCACAAGCTGTTATAGTCACAAAGGGAGAAAGTTTAAAAGCTAAATGATGGCAGAAACCACATTTCTGTGCATACCATGTCAGCAAAGTAGGTCATGCCGAGGCGATAGGACTTGATGCCCTGATCTGCCATGATGTTGTGCACCAGCACCAGTTTGCGGTTGATGAGCCAGGTTTCCTTGCGTTGAGCCTCTTCTGCCGGAGAGTTGTAGGACCTTCCTGCCAATCAGAGAAGGAAATAATCTGTGATAAATTACTAATCCGTTAAATCCTTTTCCAGTTTGGAGATCTCCCTTTATTAGCTGACAAACTAAATGTAGGTTGTACAGTTTTAAACATGTAAACAGATTACAATTCCCTTTTCTTTAGACCATGTGGCCTTGTGTGTTATGTGTAAATGAGCACACACTCCAAATTTAAGCCTCGTAGGCAGTACTGTCACAGAAACCTGAACAAGATCTGCTATATGTTAGCAGACTACAATGAAAGAAAACGGTCTGATAAGACTGTCTTACCAAACTTGAGTTTCCAGGCGTGGAACTCCAGGTCTTCCAGAGAAATGCTGGCGCAGCTGGCCACGGCCAGAGCAGCAGCAACAACCAGCAACAGCTTCATTCTGACCGAGACAAAAGCAGAAAAAGGTTAAAAAAAAAGATCCCTTTTGACTTGCAGGAAACCACACATGTTGAGGCTGAACTCTTTCACTTCAGGTTTGTTTGACAAATATTATCTGCCGTGACGTTGGACGTCACATGCACGCTACCACTGTATCAGATCTATTTCCCAGTGTCTTTGAATCTCTTGTGTCATCCCTCCCTCAAACTCTCTCGGTTTCCTTCTTTGCGTCACTATACTTGCATTACAGGAAGTACCTGATTGTCTGTTTTTTTTTGTATTTTTTCGTCTCTGCTGTTGCTGTTTACCTGCTCCTATGTTGGTGTGATAAGGGTTTGAAATATGTCCACCTGTGGTTGATGCAGGGCTGTGTTAGAGAGACATTCTTTTATAGCTGACTTCATGTTATGACAAGCAGTACGTCCTGTCAGGTGGCTGTCAGCCGTTCGTAAAGAAAAAAGGAAGAGAAAGTCAATCATTGAAATACTGAATGGGTGCGTTATGCATTAAGAAGTTCTCATGATGCCATTCTTTTAAGAAACGCACATGAAGGTCATGAAATACTCAGAATTTTGATCAGTTACTCAGCAGTTTGTTGTTTGACAATTCGCGTGATGCCTTCATGTGAAAAAACACTGTTGGGATTTTTTTTTTTCACCACTGCTTTCTGACTCCAGTCACATAGGGATGGGAAATAAAAAACAGAAAATAGACAAAGATACGATAACATTCTGCATGTGCTAACGTGTGCCGATTTTACTGGAAAGCTCACTCATATGGCACGCTGGAAAGTATGTTAGTAGCTAAAGGAGGTGTTCTTATTTCCTGGATATGTAGGTGATACTTTAGCTAACACCCACTATGTTTGTTTGAATGATTTACAAACATTTTCCCTCTCTATTTAATTAGAGACTCAAACGAATTAAACAATCCTTGCCAAAGTATACACATTTCCAGAAATATACTGAGCGTTTCCAACTTTTTGCTTTAAACTGAAATGTTTTCAGAGGTTTTGGAGATCTTTAAATATTGTCAATGCAGACAAATGTATATATTGTATAACCCAGTTGTTGAAGATTTCCTTTCTGTCTCCACATCCTGTTTTCATCTTAAGATTAGATTTGCTCTGCAAATGTTCCCTTTTCGTCATTGTCAGTAACATGAGCAGACGTATTATTTTTCCAGTCAAACACACAAAAGGAGACCAGATGAAGAAGAAAAACACTGAAACCAGAGCTGGGAATTTACTTTATTAATTTGTTTCACTTAACCATCACATGATGGCAACCAAAGAGTGAATTCTAGGTCTGATAAACTCTTTATATATATTGTATAAGCAATGCATTCATATTCATTTTTTTCATAGTTCACTGCGGTTACTTCTGTCAGACTGTCTTTGCCCCGCCCTCCTGCTATCCTGTTGTCTCTTTGCTTATCTGCCTGTCTGTCACAAGGCTTTCAGGTCATGACAATACTTAAGGCCATAAAGATGCTGTTAAGTGAGGGTAAAACTCAGAGCTAAGCTAAAAGTTTACAGATGTACAAATGCTTGAGATCTTTCGTATAAAAGCAATAAAAATAATTACTAACACTGGCAGGAAACAAATAAGAGCAGAAACAGAGCTGCTGCTTCTATTATATTATAGCACTTTGTTGTTGGTTTTTATGCTATTTAGCTTTATATAGCAAGAGTTGCTCATAAAAAGCCAAAACACAGACAGACTTAGAACAATTGACCAGTGGTGGAAGAAGTACTCGGATCATTTACTTAATACCACAACGTAAAAATACTCCATTGCAAGTAAAAGTCCTCCATGAAAGTCCTTCTTAAGTAAAAATACAGAAGTATAATTAGCAAATTATACTTTAAGTATCAAAATTAAAAGTACGTGTCGTGCACAAATATGGCCCTTGTAGTATATTATTAAATACGACATATTGATTGATGATACAAATTGAGGTCATGAAATGCATAGAATTTTCTGTGAGGACATGATCGGTTACTCAGCAGTTTGTTGTTTGGGAATCACACATAAGGAAGAAACACCGCCTGTCCGTGTGTTTAGCGTGATGTCCTCATGTGAAAAAACACTGTTGGGATTTTTTTTTAACCACTGCTTTCTGATTCCAGAATAAAAACAGAAAATAAACACAGATACAATAACATTATGCATGCGCTAACGTGTGCCGTCGCTCACCTATTTTACTGGAAAGCTCACTCATATGGCACGCTGGAAAGTGTTTCAGTAGCTGAAGGAGGTGTTCTTATTTCCTGGATATGTAGGTGTTACTTTAGCTAACACCCACTAATACATAATTCCCCCTTCTTTTTTAACTCCTCCACAGTGGATTGAAGTAATTTTCCCTTTCTATTTGATTAGATACTCAAACTAATTAAACAAAACTTGTCAAAATGTACACATTTGCAGAAATATACTAAGTTTTGACAACTTTTTGCCTCACACTGAAAGGTTTTCAGAGGTTTTGGAGATCTTTAAATACTGTTAACACAGGCAAATATTTACACACACGTTCTGATAAACTATACCCTTCTCTACATTTGGTGTTGCTTGATTTATGATTCATGATATATGAGTATTTCCATTGACATTTCAAGATTTCCTTTCTGTCTCCACATCCTGTTTTCATCTAAAGATTTGATTTGCTCTGCAAATGTTCCCTTTTCGTCATTGTCAGGAACATGAGTAGATGTATTAAAGAAGAAAAAAGCAGAAAACGGAGCTGGGAATTTGCTTTATTTATTTGTTTCACTTAACCATCACAACCAAAAGAGTGAATTCTAGGTCTGATAAACTCTTTATATATATTGTACAAGCAATGCATTCATATTCATTTTTTTCATGGTAGTTCACTGCAGTTACTGCTGTCGAACTGTCTTTCCCCCGCCCTCCTGCTATTCTGGATATCCTGTTTTTCTCACTTGTCTGCCTGTCTGTCACATGGTTTTCAGGTCATGACAATACTTAAGACCATAAAGTTGCTGTTAGGTGAAGGAAAAACTCAGAGCTAAGCTAAAAGTTTACAGATGTCATTGAACTCTATCAGCTTGTCTCATGTTTTTTAGCTGATAGTCTGCTGTTGGTAGTGTTTCTACAAATGCTTGAGATTTTTATTACTAACACTACCACGAAACGAATAAAAGCAGGAACAGAGCTGCTGCTTTTAATATATTATAACACTTTCATTAAAAGCCAAAACACAGAAAGACAAAGCAATTGACCAGTGGTGGAAAAATTACTCAGATCATTTACTCAATACCACAATGTAAAAATACTCCATTGCATGTAAAAGTCTTGCCTAAAAGTCCTTCTTAAGTTAAAATACAGAAGTATCATTAGCAAATTATACTTTAAGTATCAAAAGTAAAAGTACTTGTCATGCACAAATATGGCCCTTGTGACTAATATATTATTATATATGACATATTGATTGATAATACTGATGCAACCATGTGTAAGTAGCAGAACACAAATAGTAAAGAAAAAGGTTGGGAAATGCTGGCCTACAGTATAAATAGAGAGAGAAGCTAGTGGGTTTTATTATGAGGACAAGAAATCAAGTGCAACTTTATACATGCATAATGTTTGCGATGTACCTCGTGTACTATAAAGCAACAACAGTCAATAAAGGGTCAATAAAACTGATAGGAAAACTTCATAAGTTCATAGCTCAAGGTTTCTGTGCACTTGTGTGATTGGCCTTGAAAATGAGGTTGGAGTAAAGCATTCGGAAAAGGCAAAGCAGAAACCCACTAAGTGCACAGAAAAAAAAAACGTTTTCTGTGATTTCCACCACCACTTCCACATTAAGTGTATTTACATTTGTATTATTACCACTTGTTTTGGTTGCATATCAATGTGTTTTATTTGCCTCCTTCAGCTCGCAGATTACAGTTATGACAGCTCTGCAAATGACACATTAACTGTCTGAAATGCAGGACAGAGATACACATTTATGCAATATTTCTGAAGTTAAGGCGAGCAAATTAGGTTTTTCTTATACAGTCAGTTAACAAGTTGAGTGTCAGGCTGTAAAGGTATTACAGTTAATGTCGCAGTATTTAGTGGAAGATGGAATATCAACAACAAGTTTGCGATTTCAACTTCAAATAATTTAAAAGGCAAATATGCAATTTGGATTACATTAATTTCAGTAGATGTAAGAATTTAACATTTTCAAAACTGAATGTGAACCTGCATCCTGTATCATGTGACTGTCATCGATGACCGGCCATATGACCCACTGTCTCTGTGGTTTAGATTGGGTCATCTTAGGGTTTGTCTTACTGTAAATAGTGACTCAGTGATGGACACCACAACTCAGTAAATCAGCTGTTCAGGAAATGCTGTTGGGCACTGATAATACTCACTTCCCTTCATTGAAGTGTACCCGGATACAGTACATGTAAAAGACCAGGGTTTTTCCAAAGCTACTTTTGGTCAAAGTGAAATTAAGCACACTGCACTCATGATTATAATTCTGACACAAACGTTTTCAAGATCTTGCCTGGTAGAGGCAAACACAAGCTTGTTTTGTATAAGAAGTCCAAAAACAGTGGAACATAGATTTCACTGTTTCCCAGAGCCCAACGTGACGTGTTTAAATGTCTTGTTCAGCAGTCCAACCCCCAAAGATTTTCACTTTACAATGATATACAACAAACGTCAAAATAAAGTTTATTTTTTTAAAGCAAATACTTAAAATGGACAAGAAAAGTAAAGGAAAACACTGTTTGTAGAGACAGTTTCTCTGAGCATTCCCACCATCCAAAGATAGGGTGCAGTATTTACATTTTCTAAGTTTAATGTGGGTTCTATAGCAATGCATTTTGGCGGGTAAAATGATCAACCTAAAAGGGCATAAAATAAATGCACCACCACCTTTCTATCTGTTTTTCAGTTGCCAGACCCTTCTTTCTCAACTCCGGGGCTTCTGCAGTTCTGATCTGAACCTCTGTAGAGCAGTAAGCCTCACACAGATTCGAGTATGTACAAACAGTCAGTCACAAGTAAGATTTTGAAATTCCTTTCATTTATTTTCTAGCTGGCTTTTGCAGTATTATGACCACACCAGGAGAGGGCAGCATTTCCTAAGGCTTTGCGTACACAGTGTACATGTTCAGTTAGTAAACACAGCTCCCACACATTTAATAGTGGGTCAATAAAATCATATTATATTATAATAAAATGAATCTACAGTAGTTTTGCTGCTAATTCTTCTGGAAATTCTGAATCAGTTGATTAATATCACTGTAACAGAATGCATCCATAATGACGAAAGATGCCGGGATTTTCTTATATAAACTGTCACAGTGTGATGGTTAACATGGATATTTTTAATGCTCTGTAGAGTTTATCGACATCTAAGTAATATAATGTGACAATAGCCGTGGGTGCATACTAACTATGGAGTAGATCCTGGAGGATCCAGTGACAAAACTAGTGTGAGAAGGCAGTAAGATGCTTGGCATGGGAAACTGAGAGGAACGCTATGCCCGTAAACTCTTCTAATTTCATTACTCTACATGTATCCTCAGCTTAGAGCCAATCACATAGTTGGCTGCTCTCTAGTGGGTGGGGTCACACATAACAGCCGTTAAATTGTGACAGTGGCCCAGACTGGCATACCTTTGCACATAATCTGATTATCGGATCAATAACACAGCAACATTTGGTGCATAGTTGGAATGGCAGGCTTCATCTCTGGTTACACATTGCTGGCATTCACCACTCGTTCCCACTTTATAGGTGACAAACTGTGAATGCAAGCAGGAATTCAAATGGAAGGCCTTTTAAATAAAGCAAGTCGCATAGCGCAACCTTGATCACATCTGGCTGTGCTACTGTCTCGAGGATTCACACAGCTACTGAAATATCAACGCACTCTATATATCAGTGTGTAAAATCAGAAACTTATCTAAAAGCCTTCATTGACCACCAAGTGTCTTCTACCCAATAATACTGAGACACATTTCTTAAAGATTAAATGTTAGTATTTATACTTTAGACGTATTTATTTCTGTCTGTCCAGCAACACTTACAACGTCCTTTAAATTAGTAGTGGCTCAGATATTATTTCTTATAATGTCATGCAAGGTAGATGTGTCATTTTACCATAAAAATATTTATTGACATCACAATCTTCTTTGACACAAGAACAACCGAGAAGTGTTCAGAAAGTCCAAATTTAGAACATCTAAGAATGACAGAGAAATAAAGAACTAAAACGGAACATCATCATCATCATCAAATTGAAAGAACACAAGATTTGAGTCTGTTCAGAGCAAACAAATACTGGTTGAAATTGTGTTTTTTTTAAAAATGACCTTTATTCTCCACAAAAGATTGCTTCATAGATGGATGAGAAAGTCCACCAAAAAAAACATGGTATGGTCATCTCCATCGCCTCTCCGTTTAGAAAACACAATCAACTAAATCACAATAATTTCAGATCACTGGCCTAACCAAACATTTTAGAAATGCACATAAACACCAATAAATAGAAACACTTTATTTCCGAGAGCAAAATTAAATAATAACAACCAAAAAAGCCGTCATGATGATAGTCACAAAGCATAAACCACCATAATTGCTGCTCCTGTTTATCGCTGCATGCTGCATTTGTGAAATGCAGATAAGTGGATGATGACAACCACTGTACCAACAAAGAGCATGAGACAGAGATAACCAGGGACGTTGGAGGGAATCCCTGCTTGCCCGTATTCATCGACTGTCCCTCCATTCATCCCTCTATCTCTCTGTCCTCTGCTAAGGTCTGTTGTGATCCTGTCTTTCTCAGTCCAAACAGGTCACTGTGGCTCACACCTCGCCAAGGTCTGTGCTGCACCGGCAGCGTGGGGAGAGAGAGTGGAAGAGAGATGGGAAAGAGAGAGAGCAACCCACACAGATAATAGACAGCGACACTCTTGTCTCTCTCTCCCTCTGTCTCTCTCTCCCTCTCCCTGCTTTATCTCCATGGTGCACACACGTCGACCTGGACCAAGGCTGTATACTGGCAGGGGAGGCCAGGAGCAGAGAGAAGGGGGTGGATAGATGGGGATGGAGTGTGTGTGGGGGGGGGGATAAAGGGACACGTTGCTTCAATAGCGGAGCAGGTCCAGGGACTAATTGGATCTGGTAATGGCTGGTCAATGTGACCGAAGGGCTCGTTAGAACCAGTACAGCTCCTTGCCTTTCTTGTGCTGCTGGAGGCCTGAGGAAAAAAAGACAAGGGAACAATGAGGAGGACAACGGTGAACAACAGAACACAGGTTGTCATGGAGCCTACTTTTGCTTAACATCCAGTTTTAGAAAGAGGAAAGAGAGCTTCTGTGATGATTGTGTGTGTGTGTGTGTGTGTGTGTGTGTGTGTGTGTGTGTGTGTGT